GATGGATGGATAGTCGTAAGATTACAGGTGGCACCAAGTCGGGGACATGAGGCTCTGAAACAGAGGTATGGCAGGTACAATAGGTGGACTGGTGAACTTGACAAGTCTTCTGTGTCGGGCAAACAGCGCCCCTCTGAGCACAGATGCAACAAACACAGCTGGGGGGGCACAACCGCCGTGCTGGCATGACGTACACCCGCAGAGCCCGACAGTCAAGTGACCCCCCCCCCCTGAGGCAAACAAGCACCCGAAGCCGGAACAACTCCTACTAGCGCTGGTAGCTTCGGCTGCCAACGGCCCTTCGGTACCTCGGAAGATCGGGAGGACTGTGGCATACAGAAAAATGACAGTGTCCCACATGAGTGCTGTCCCTCTGCATCGGCCCGGTCTTGTCCCATTGTGCGCGAGGCGGCCATCTTGTCGTGAGTCTCCTATCGAGCTGTCCGCGTCGATAAAGTGACAGACGAGAACCGCCCGATTTCTTCTTCTTCTTCTTTCCTCCCTCTCCTCATCATTCCACCATCATTCGATATCCTCTTCCCCATCCATCTATAATCTTTTCCAATGGATCTGTCCGCCTACGTTGACCGGCTCCGGAGCGGGGCGCCGCCCAAGTTCCCTGCCGATGCCAACTCGCTCGCCTTTGCCCAAAACCTCGACTCGCAGGACTCGATCCGCCATCTCCGCGACGAGTTCATCTTGCCCACCAAGACGTCTCTCAAGAAGCGAGGCCTCAACGGCACCATCCCATGTATGCCTCTCCTCTCCCCCCTTCTTCCACACCTCGGCTAACCATACTCTGCAGCACAACATGCCCACGCCAACGGCACCACCAATGGAGATGCCGTCGATGACACGGGCATCTACTTCGTTGGCAACTCCCTGGGTGCCCAGCCCAAGGCCGTGCGCACCTACCTCGACGCCCAGCTCGAGACCTGGGCCTCCATCGGCGTCAACGGCCACTTCTCGCGGCTCGACGCCTCGCCCCTCACGGCCTGGCAGGACCTGGCCGAGGACTGCGCCCGCAAGTCGGCCGACATTGTCGGCTCCTCCCCGCACGAGATTGTCGTCATGAACACCCTCAGCGTCAACCTGCACCTCATGATGGCCAGCTTCTACCGCCCCACGGCCCAGCGCCACAAGATCATCCTCGAGTGGCGGCCCTTCCCCAGCGACTGGTACGCCATCGAGAGCCAGATCGCCTGGAACGGCTACGACCCGGCCGAGGCCATGGTCCTCCTCCAGCCCGGCGACGACTGCCTCATCCCCACCGAGCGCATCCTCGCCGCCATTGACGAGCACGCCCACGACGCCGCCCTGCTCCTCCTCCCCGGCATCCAGTACTACTCGGGTCAGCTCTTCGACATCCCCCGCATCACCGCCTACGCCCGCGAGCGCGGCCTCGTCGTCGGCTGGGACCTCGCCCACGCCGCCGGCAACGTCGAGCTCAAGCTGCACGACTGGGACGTCGACTTTGCCTGCTGGTGCACCTACAAGTACATCAACGCGGGCCCCGGCTCCATTGCCGGCGTCTTCGTCCACGAGCGCCACGGCGGGGTCACATGGGCCGCCGAGGACCCGGACAAGAAGGGCCGCCCCGAGTACCGCCCCCGCCTGACGGGCTGGTACGGCGGCGACAAGAGCGTGCGCTTCAACATGGACAACCGCTTCGTCCCCACCCCCGGCGCCGCCGGCTACCAGCTGTCCAACCCCTCGGCCATCGACCTGGCCAGCCTCTCAGCCGCCCTGTCCGTCTTCAACAAGACGAGCATGCGCGAGCTGCGCTCCAAGGCCCTCGTCCTGACCGCCTACGCCGAGTACCTCCTCGACGGGATCCTCGCCGAGTCAAACGAGGCAACACCGCTCTTCACCGTCCTCACCCCGCGTGACCCGGCCCAGCGCGGCACGCAGCTGAGCGTGATGCTGCGCGAGGGTCTGCTCGACGACGTGGCCGAGGCGCTCGAGGACAACGGCGTGCTCTGCGATAAGCGCAAGCCGGGAGTCATCCGCGTGGCACCCGTGCCGCTCTACAGCCGATTCGAGGATGTGTGGCGTTTTATGCAGATTCTACGGGGCGCGCTCAAGATGTAGTAGACTTTGGGACGGATACAGGCAAGGGAAAAAGGGATAGAATATGAATTAATAATACGACGTTATGCCATTATGTCTATTTTCTCATCAGATTGCTCTTGTGCACAAAAAGTCCCTCGGGTATGTTGTCGAATATTCATCAGTTTCTGCTAGTATACAAGAATATCGTTGGTACATGTCTAAAGTGTAAGCCAAGACCGGAGCGGAAGTTCGGATACCGGCGGTTGTCCCGTCTTCCGCCCCTCGGGTCATGTGGCCAAGCCTGTACGTAATGATAGGAATCCCTGCCGCCCCGTCATCCATGACGGAAGCTACTACAGGTAGTGCGCCAGGTCGATACCTCCGCCGGCATCCAGCAGCGGAAACAGGTTGAGCGCAGAGCTCGGGTCCACCTCGCTGCCCATGTTCCTCGCCCAGAAGGTCTCGTCTGGCGTCTGCAGCAGCGACTCGCCAAGACCGAGGAACGAGCCGTCGATATCCCCAATGCGTGGGGGGCTTGCGCCCTGGAGCAGGCCCTGGTGCTGGAGGAACGACCGATCCAGGGATTCCCGCGTCCTTGCTGGGCTGCCGCCAGAGACACTCGTGTCGTCCCGGTGCCTCGTGGGCGTGTCGTTTGGGTGGCGCATGTCATGCGGCACAAGGCCAAACAGCTGGCTGGAGTTTTCGGTGCGGCGGAGGCGTTCCTGCAGCTCGCGCTTCTCCAGGTAGTCCAGCGCCGTGGTGAGCAGGGACTGCGCAATGAGTGAGTACTGCACGGCGTGGTTGTCGTGCCTGGCGAAATGGTCCAGGGCTTGGATGGACCTCCGCGTGTACTTTTCGAGTATACGTCCAAAGCCACCCAGCAAGCCCACTCCAAGAACAAGAGACGAGGCGAATAACCAAGACCTGCAAAACTGTCAGCGTTACACTCCAGGCAGGCATCGGTAGGGACAGTAGCATACACAAGAAGCGGCACCTTTCCGTTGAGGGCCCCCCTCTCAATGAGGTCGAGAATTGGATCGACCATCAGGCTGGCAGCATCGATGCAAGCATCTGCCAGTTTGGATTTTCCCGATGCCAAGCCCGCTCTTCCTGAGGGTCCGTCCGACAACCGACGGCAGAGCTCGTACATGAGAAAGGGGCGCGAGACAAGCATGACGGCGTAGTAGTACGTAGACAGAACCTGGCATGCGCCGCTGACCTCTGGGCCGCCGGGTCCAGCAATGACTTCCTTGAGCGGCCGCAGCCATCGGAGCGACCAGTCGCGCAGCTGTACCGAGATGCCCTCGGTGAGCTGCAGGGATATCTTCTTGCGCGAGTAGATCTGCACCACGATAACCTCGGTGATCATGAGAATCTGCACCGACGCGTTGAGCAGGTCAAAGGGCTCGCTCCCGTCCTCGCCCGCATTGCGGTACGGCACCGTGCAATCCACGTCCGACGCGGCAGGCGGCCTGCCCATCGACGTGCTCAGGAACAAATCCACAATGCGCAGGCTCTTCCACAGCCGGTCGCGCTCGCGGTGCAGCTGCGCTCCGAACCGCGCATTCACCTCGGTCCGGTGCACGCCGATCGAGTAGGCAGCACGCACGGCCACGCCGAAAAACAGGAACGCTCCGTTGATCTGGCAGGAGCATAGCATGTACATGGTGACGAGGATGAAGGCCTGCACCGTGCCCACGCCTAGGTTGCCGCTGAGGTCGCCATAGGCGCGATCCCGCGCGTACTCAAAGTACACCTGCGCCGCGTCCGGATCACTCATCTGCCGGCCGATGGCCAAGACGAGGTACTTGACAATGGAGGTTATATCCTCGGGCCGGTGGTCGAGGTTCGCCCACAGGAGCATGTCGTCGTGCAGCTTGTCATGGTCAAACAGGTCGACGAGCCCCACCGTCGCCGCCAGGTACGCCTCCACGGCAGCCGCCACATGCACTGCGCGGACGGGCGGCGCCCCGGAGTAGAGCAGGCCGGGAGGCCGGACGGCGGCGTTCTCGAGGACTGAGTAGCGGCTCGTCTGCGGCGCAAAGGCGTTGTGCGCGACTCTGGTGGTGACGAGCTGGCGCACAGACTGGAAGAATGACAGGGGAGCGCAGTCGCCGATGAAGACGAGTTTGCCCTGTGTATCGCAGAGCAGCCTGGCCTCACGGGGTACTTCCGTCTCCTCCTCGGTCGCTGCCGCTGCCGCTGCCGTCATCCCATCCTGCCCCTTGGACGCAGGTTCCGCCCTGTCCTCCTCCCGTCTCTCATCGCCAATCTCCACGCGCCGCGGTGAAGAGACCAGGGGACTCGGCGGCGCCGTGTGCCTATGAACATGCGCAGCAGCAGCCGCCGCTGGCCGCCGTCGACGCTGGGGCGAGTAGTGGCAGCTCTGGGCCTGCTGGCGACGAGCGCAGTATGTGCAGGGGACGCGGCCGTCGCATTTGACCTTGCGGGCCTTGCACGTATCGCAGGCGTTGGCGATGCGGCTGCGGATGTAGTATGTGTGCGAGGCCGGTGAGCCGGCAGGTGGCGTATCCATGGGATTTGGTGGGTAATGGAATGCTGAAAATGAGACATTGGCTGATGTAGCTCGGAGGTTCGGATGTAAAATTCGGAACTAATCGGGTTCGCCAACACTGTGCTAGAGGGCCGTGTTAGGGACTAAAGTCGCGCCCAGTGCGGGCTACAGGGGCTACACACTGTAGCCCGACAAGCTTCACATCTCAACTTCCTACTTACACACTTACAACGAACTTCAACAGCAACCATTGCCCTCGACAGAATTAGCCTGTTCTCTGATTATTGCATACGTACTTACTTCATCCACCTGTATCAGAATATTACTTAATAAATTCCGCTCAAACATAGACCAAGTGGACCAACACCACCAAACTCCACCACAAAAATATTGTCCTTCTTCCATAGGGATTCTTCGAGGGAAGCAAAAGTAAAGGTCCAACCAGGAATCGAACCTGGGCTATCAGAAGCTTCTGTTAATCAGAATCTGATGTCATGACCATTAGACCATTAGACCGGGCTTGGATGGCGTCCACCGTGCTATCCTCACACATCTGTCTGTCGTGAAGAGCAAGTCCACTTCAACGCAGGTCACCAATGAGAAATATGTGATTCAATCTTTGCCATCATCATGAGTGAACTATCATCTGCCTAAAGAATATAGTTCGAGCCTTGGTCATTGGTGCGTATGCTTCACCATTACAACAAACACATGTTATGCAAGTCTCTGCTCGCCCTGTCCCCCAAACGCCGCAGATCTGTACAGAAAAGATACAAGAGGAAATAGGGACATGAAAGAGAAAAAGAAAAGTAGACAAGAACCCCAGCCCACTACATCTATCGCCATGCCAAGCTGCCACGGCTTTCCTGTCGCCTGTGAGCGGCTCCCGCCATTGCTCCGGAGCCGATGGTGACACGACGGTTCTTATTGACGGCACCCTGGGGGCTTCCGCCTGGGTTATCGATGCGAACGCTGCCGCCCATGTTCATTCGACGCGCCTGGCCAGGCGTAAACGCTCGGTCCATCTTCCAGTCGGGAGGAGAGCACGTTATCGGGGGCGATCGCCTTCGCTCTGCGCTGCCGCGGTTGCGCGAGATGCCGTTGGAGCTACTAGCCAGGTTTCCCGGCATGCTAGGCCGCGGTCCCAACTTGTCGCCACTGATGGATCCAATAGATGAGATGCGCCGGGCACCAGCTGCCCCTGTGCCTGACATTAGGCTCATCCTACGAGCCTTGTCCTTCTTCATCATGTTCATGGCGCTTCGCAACTTTTGAGCGTCGATGCTGCTGGATTCCGAATCCGATCCCGACGCACTGGCCTGAGGCGGGTTGTTCTCATCCATGATGGTGTGCAGAGAACGACGAGGCAGCTTGATTCTGGTGGCCGACGGGGGCGTTAGGTTGCCGCTCTTAGCGACATCCAGAGACCGGAGTGGCGGCGTACCTCCTGAATTGGGAGAGGAGGAAGCCAGGTTCAAGCTAAGCTGAGGTGCCACAGGCGAGCCGCCTTGCAGAGACATCCTAGTGTTCTTGGACAAGAAGCCGGCCTGGAACCTGCTAGGCTTGGCCACCGTGGCATTCTCGGCCATGGGGCTCGGGCTGTCCTCCATCTTGGCCATGGGGGCGGCCTGGACTTCGATGGAAGGACGAGGAGCGGGAGGCAGGGGGGAACCGGAGGGTAGGGGGATCTGCGATGGCGACTTGTCTGGAGTAAAGTTGAGGACCTTGTTAGGCGTCTTCTCGAAGTCGGCCAAGGTTCCCTCCTCCGTCTCGTCGTCTCGCCATCTCACACCCCGCGACTTGCCCTTCTTGACCGGTGAAAAGTTGACTGCCTTCTTCGCCGATGTCGGGGCCTTACGCCTTCGGGGCGACGACCTCATTGGGCTAGGAAACGCGTTTTCGTTCTGCGCGGGGGCGAGCACGGGAGCTGCAATGGGCCTGGCCAGCGTGGAAGTGGCCTTCTTCTTCTTGGGCGTGCCCCTTCGTGAAGGAGGCATGGCCTCGGTCACGGACAAGGTGATGGAGCCGTCGGGCTTCACCACCTGAGAGGCCGCATTGTAGCCTGTCTGCAGAAGGCGGTTGATGATGCCCTTGGCGTGCGCAACAGCAGACTCTTCATCCATGTTGAGGGTTTCCGCAAGAGAGGAGAGCATCTCAAACTGAGCGGTAAGCAGCATCTGCATCATGGCCGCGTCGCCTGCCTTGTCCTGCTCCGCAACTTCAAAGTACGCCTCGCGCTCAAAATTGGCCTTGAGAAGCTCAACCTCGCGGTTCAGAGCATCAATCTCGCCTGTGTCGGCGCCCGTACCCTCGAGCTGGCGCAGGCTGTGCGCGAGAGCCGTCTCGATAGATCGCTCCCAGGTCGACTTGCTCAGCTTCTGGTGCATGTGGTGGCGGCTGTTCTCCAGCTCGACCAGAATTCCTTGTGCTGTCTTGCGCACTGCCGTCAGGTTTGGCGGCATGGAATCCTCGTCACCATCACATCGCTGATCGCAAATTGTGTCGAATGCAGCGATCCACCCAGAGAGCAGGCTGATGCGGCGCTCAATAGCCCTCAACTTCTTCATGCAGGTGACGCGCTCCTGGCGCTCCCCTACAGAGTTATCGTAGGCGGCACGGAGCCTCTGCATGCCCTCTCTGCTCGTCACGTCCCGCTTCTCCCACTGCTTGCGGAATTTTGCGAAGAAGATGTTCTCGGCGTCCTTCTGCTGCGCCTTGAGTTCGTTGATCAACGCCATCTGTTCGTCGATCTTGACCAGGAAATCCTTGACATGGCGGTTGACGTTGAAGACATTTCGGGTCACCTTGGTCTGGATGTTCTTTGCGCGATTGGCGTAGCGCAGTGTGTTTTGGGTCTCGTCAAAGTGCGCGCTCGAAGGGGAGACGCATACAATCATGACAGTCTTGCAGTTTCCGCCCAGCGAGAACTTGAGAAGACGGGTAAGTTTGCTGTTTCGGTAGGGGACGTGGGCCTTCTGGCGGCGGTCGCAAAGAGCATTGATGCAGCTACCCAGTGCCAGGAGGGACTTGTTAATGTTGGCACCTTCGGTCAGACGCTCGCCGCGGTTCTTGGTTACTGATGCACGCTCAGAGCCTGCGAGGTCGATGATGCTGAGCGTAGCCATGGTATGAGGCTCGTTGACATCGGCATTTCTGTCCTTTTGGGCGATGTTGATCTGAAGGACTGCGTGGGATCGCGACGACGTGGCGTTTGCCTCCGTGGGGGACACAGTTCGGTACTCGTTGCCCTGGACAATCATGTCCATGACCTCCTGCACATCCTTGGGGTGGTGGCTGCTGAGACCGGAGACGGTGACAGCCTGGTTGCTGTCCTCTCTGAGCATCAGGCCGGCCTTGCTTCCGCCGGGCACCAACAGGTCGCGAATGGTCTCGTTGTAGATCTCGAGGTAGCTGAGGCTGAGCTCGGTACTCTTGTCCTGGCTCCTCTCTCCGATTTTCTCAAACAGTTCCTGCATGGTTAAGAAGATGATGCCAGGATGCGAAGGGGTTCCGGTAATTGTGTGCGTCTTGCCGCAGCCCGTGGCGCCGTAGGCGAAGACGGTAGCGTTGTAGCCATCGAGGACGCTGTCGAGCAGGTTCTTGGTGGTTCCCTCGTATACCTCGGACTGGGTCGTGTTGTCATCGAAAACGCGGTCAAAGGCAAACACCTGATCCTTGACCTTCTTCGACGTCGGGAGCACGGAGCGGGAGAACCTCTGGACGGGGTTGTCCTCGGGAGGGTCGAATACTCTGCGACGGGTCAGGAAGGCAATAGCAGGGCTAGGCAGGCAACCTACAAGCATCGGTCGTCAACGACCTTGATGACATTTCGAATGCCCCTTTGGTGCAGCTTAGGTGCGGGGGCGGCAGCCAGGGAGCCGTCACCGAGGAAGATGGTGCCATCCTCGTTCTTTTGCCTGGAGACGCGTCAGTACAGCATGTCGATGCAGGGCGTGGCGGAATGGGAAGACCAACAGCTGGGCTGCCTCTCTAATTGTGAATGGTCGCACGCGAACTAGAAACCAAGTCAGCAGGCCTCCCAGCAGCACGCAGATAGCCAAACGTACCGGCGACCGTGATGGACGACGCCCCGTCGGCCATTGTGATGATTGGAAGGGTTGATGCTATGACTGTGTAGAGATATCGAGGAGGGCGGCGTTTCGTTTCGTCTGAAGTAGTCGGGCGTGTTTATGGTCGCATAAAGGGGACGTGCAGCCGAAATGACGACCCTGATCGTGAAAAACAAAAACAGCTCGTGGGGGGGGTATAGGAACAGAAAAATCCAAAGGGGATACAAGTCGTGCGCTCGAAGAAACTCCTATGGGACCTTACCGTGAACAATGCTGAAGACACGAGAGAGCGGATTCAGGTCAAGCGAGTGTCGTGTTTTGGGAAAAGTCCATCTCAGAGATAAGGGAGCTGTCTCGAGCAGCTATTGATAAGTGACGTTTTGGCATTGTTGACGCTAGCTGCCCGTCGCTGGGACAACCAGTTGCAGCGGGGCGTCTCTGTTTATTGTGGCTTCCATGCGTGGCTGCACTTAGGGTCCAAGGTGGGGCGCATAGGGGCTACCCTATATCTCGATAAACAGCCTCGTCTCCTCGTTAAACATTAAGACCAGAGATATTCAGCGAACATTCCCATGGCTTGGAGTGAGTTTTAATATTTTTTGTAGATCCTATATGCATTGTGAGGTTGGTCTCCCCAGCTCCATGGTAATATCGAAATGCTATACCCCAATTGAGTGAATCCTTGGCAATGTCTGTCAGTTAATCATCCCCGCAAACGCCAAACGTGATCTCTCGTTTGAACATACAACGTCACAACACCATGCCATGCTCTTCTAGCTTGAGCAGGGTTGATGCACAGGAGCTGCATATGAAATCTTTGATGCTTTCCGCCCAGGATTTGAACGACGAAACTGTGTTGCAACTTGCCCTTGAGCAAGCCCGTCGTCATCCCAGGCAGCATCACAGCGAAGAAAGTCTCCGAGAGGCAATCGCTACAACGGAGAGTGCATTGCAATTCCATGGCCAAGATGCTGCGATCCAGCAAGAGTTGTTCCTGAGTCTCAGCAGTCTGTACGAAGACCTCGCTGGATGGCCTACGTATAGCAGACGAGACCAGGACTTTGAAGCTGCCATCGCCGCCCGCGTCTCGGCATTGGCTCTCCCTGGCCTCCAAGACGCAGCAGCCCGTATCCCCCAGCTTGAGAAGCTGAGCTCGCTATACGAACAGTGGTATCGCCGCACCAAAGACGTGGAGCTTTTGCAGAAGACGCTACACTATCTCGAAGAGGCGCAACCACTCCTTTCTCCCGGGGCTTTGGAGGCAAACATCGCTGCCTGCCAGTGCCTGCGCCTGGCCATCGGCGACACCAACGACTCTCAATGTGTCCTGAGCATCCCCTACGACCTGCTGCTGAAATCTCCTGTCCCTCTTGATGGTTTGACTCCTCGTCGACACCGGTTCCTCGACTGTCGCAGCCTCGTCAACCGAGAGGCTCTCCGTGTGCT